TAATTGGTTTATTTAACAATCTACAACTAACGGCTACAATTAATTATTACACAGTTGCGGGGTTTCACACTTTATAACCCTAATCGCAATAATCTGTTACCACTGTTGCGGGGTTTCACGACTTATAACCCTATGCGCAAATCAGTTCACTCTGTCTTCAGTGGTCTACACGTTTACAGTAGGGGAGCTATGTATCGCTGTATCACACGCTCCCAATTACACAATCACACACACGTCCGGTTCTTCTATCCGCGACGGCTGCTATACTCCAACTGTAGTCGGCTGACTGGAGAACTGTTGATAACACACTCGCTCGTAGGCTTGCTCAGAACTATCTTCGGCGATGGCCAGGTTACAACTGACTGGTTGCTGGCTAACTCGGAACTAACTCGGAGGTAGCTCGAGGACTGACTCGGCGGTAGCTCCAGGACTCACTGACTGACTCAGTACAACTCGGAATTGTCTTCGGCGATGGCCAGGTTACAACTAACTCGGCGACTGTTGCTATATGTCAACTCGGCTCGGCGACTATTACTTTATAACTCGGCGGCTGTCACAGTACAACTGACTGGTAGCTGGGGTGCAGTTCACTTATATAGCTGCAGTGCTTGCCCGTTGCGTAATGAGTGCCACGTCACAGTAGGAAGTTGATTACGGGTACGTAGCGTTGCGCGTTACGTCACCGCGGAGGGGCGGGAGGGGAGCGCTGACTCACCCGCCGNTCGTATCCCACTTGTGACACCAGTGTAACGCGTATCGGGCGTATATCGCGACAAATAACTTTACGCTGTATTTTATACAAGCGAATTTTATTTCACATTCGCACTTACAGTCACCCAAATTACAGATTTACGATTACTGCTATCTGCAGTATCACAACGGAAACACTTTACAATATTAAGGTGCTAAGAGGTGAAGTAGTAAAAGCTTCAACAGTCACACTGGACGGAGTTGTTTTATCATTTGTAATATTGTTAGTGTGACGGGCCAGAATGAAACAAATCAAGTTTCTTTTACCGGCTCCACCCCCCCCTTAGATTCTGGCCTCTGATTTTCAGTTTCATGATCATTTTACAGAATGTAGGACTCCTTGGACGAGTGATCAGCTCGTCGCGAGGCCTCTACCTAAATACAGGACAACATAAACATAGAATAAACGCATACACACACCAAACATCCATGCGTTGTGTGGGATTCGAACCCACTATCCCGTCTTCCGAGTGAGCGAAGACAGTACATGCCTTAGACAGCTCGGCTCCCGTGACCGGCAGTGTATAAGAATAATATATATGAATTCAGTTCGTACCTCACAGGAAACACATCCGAACCCACGATCCCGGCTTCCGAGCGAGCGAAGACAGTGCATGCCTTAGACCGCTCGGCTACTGTGACCGGCAGTGTATAAGAATAATATATATGAATTCAGTTCGTACCTCACAGGAAACACATCCGAACCCACGATCCCGGCTTCCGAGCGAGCGAAGACAGTGCATGCCTTAGACCGCTCGGCTACTGTGACCGGCAGTGTATAAGAATAATATATATGAATTCAGTTCGTACCTCACAGGAAACACATCCGAACCCACGATCCCGGCTTCCGAGCGAGCGAAGACAGTGCATGCCTTAGACCGCTCGGCTACTGTGACCGGCAGTGTATAAGAATAATATATATGAATTCAGTTCGTACCTCACAGGAAACACATCCGAACCCACGATCCCGGCTTCCGAGCGAGCGAAGACAGTGCATGCCTTAGACCGCTCGGCTACTGTGACCGGCAGTGTATAAGAATAATATATATGAATTCAGTTCGTACCTCACAGGAAACACATCCGAACCCACGATCCCGGCTTCCGAGCGAGCGAAGACAGTGCATGCCTTAGACCGCTCGGCTACTGTGACCGGCAGTGTATAAGAATAATATATATGAATTCAGTTCGTACCTCACAGGAAACACATCCGAACCCACGATCCCGGCTTCCGAGCGAGCGAAGACAGTGCATGCCTTAGACCGCTCGGCTACTGTGACCGGCAGTGTATAAGAATAATATATATGAATTCAGTTCGTACCTCACAGGAAACACATCCGAACCCACGATCCCGGCTTCCGAGCGAGCGAAGACAGTGCATGCCTTAGACCGCTCGGCTACTGTGACCGGCAGTGTATAAGAATAATATATATGAATTCAGTTCGTACCTCACAGGAAACACATCCGAACCCACGATCCCGGCTTCCGAGCGAGCGAAGACAGTGCATGCCTTAGACCGCTCGGCTACTGTGACCGGCAGTGTATAAGAATAATATATATGAATTCAGTTCGTACCTCACAGGAAACACATCCGAACCCACGATCCCGGCTTCCGAGCGAGCGAAGACAGTGCATGCCTTAGACCGCTCGGCTACTGTGACCGGCAGTGTATAAGAATAATATATATGAATTCAGTTCGTACCTCACAGGAAACACATCCGAACCCACGATCCCGGCTTCCGAGCGAGCGAAGACAGTGCATGCCTTAGACCGCTCGGCTACTGTGACCGGCAGTGTATAAGAATAATATATATGAATTCAGTTCGTACCTCACAGGAAACACATCCGAACCCACGATCCCGGCTTCCGAGCGAGCGAAGACAGTGCATGCCTTAGACCGCTCGGCTACTGTGACCGGCAGTGTATAAGAATAATATATATGAATTCAGTTCGTACCTCACAGGAAACACATCCGAACCCACGATCCCGGCTTCCGAGCGAGCGAAGACAGTGCATGCCTTAGACCGCTCGGCTACTGTGACCGGCAGTGTATAAGAATAATATATATGAATTCAGTTCGTACCTCACAGGAAACACATCCGAACCCACGATCCCGGCTTCCGAGAGAGCGAAGACAGTACATGCCTTAGACAGCTCGGCTACCGTGACCGGCTGGACGGACATTTAATATAAGATATAAAGACCATATCCATGAAATCAAAAGCAACGAGAGTAACTCTGGGTATTCGAAACACATACTAAAACCGGACATACCTATGGAACCATATGTGATACTATGAATATTATAGGAAAGAAGAGAACGCATTTGAATACCTTGGAGAGGTATCACATTTATAGAATCGGTAAAGACAACCTATACATGAATGACACAGACACCGACACACATAACCCCATATTGGAGACTTTCATAAACTGTACACAAGACAGCAGCACACACACACACAGACCCAACCATGTTATAAAAGTGGGATTAGGCACGCTATGTACACAGAACAAAAACAGCGATACTAAGAGGCAGGGCGGAGAACACAGTCAAAAGGGCATATATGAGCCCAAAGTAATAAACTAACGCAGAGTAAAAACAAAATATATGGACAAAAATGAACAATAATAATATATTCTTTATGTATCGCTGATGGCAACTGCACCAACATGACTGGGAACTACATATGTGCAACACTCATGCCGCTGGAAAACGAATCCAAACACAACGATAATTGGATAAAAACCGACAGCCCCAAGCAAAAATATCGAATTTTTAATTGTTTTAATTACTTTTTTATTAATTTGAATTGTCTAATTCTGGTCCGTCACACTATTAATTACAAAGTTGATAATTTTCAGTCCAGTGTGACATACAAGGTTACAACACTTCAGTCTTTATTCACCTTACATGTTTCGATTCAACAGAATCATCCTCAGAGGCACACCACTATGATCAGGAAACACTGACACAGTGAAAGTGTTTCCTGATCGTAGTGGTGCGCCTCTGAGGCCTCTGAGGATGATTCTTTTGAATTGAAACATGTAAGGTGAATAAATACTGAAGTGTTGTAACCTTGTATGTCACACTGGACTGAAAATTATCCACTTTGTACATTTTTATGATTTCTAATAGAGTACGTTTATTTTAAGTGGGATATATCAGATTTATATGTGAAGGTGCATGTACTACACAATGAAACACTTTCAGCAAATCGCAACACCTGATGACGGCGGTGTAGGGGCCGGATATATAGTGGGGAGAGAGTGAGATAATAAACGGGTTGCACTGTGGGCGGAGGATGCAGCACGCATGGGGGAGAAGAGAAATGCATCCCCAGCGGAAGAGAGTTGTAATGGACGTTCACGTTACATGTGAGTCGGATGGTTTCTTTCCTAAATGAGCGACAGTCAGCTTCCTAAGAAAGAAAGTTCAGTTTGGTAGGCTTGATTCAATGCCAACTGCAGTTAGATTTTCCTAAATACCAGACTGAATTGGACAAAGGACCGGACACGTTTGAGGGGCAAGAGGAACTTGTGCAACTGCAGCCACTCTATTAACGGAACATTTCGCGTTTAAAGCTCTGGCATCCATTCGCCTTGCCTTGCGTAAATTCACGTTAAATTCCTAATAAATGTATGACACTGGAGTAGATCTTGTTCCGAGGTAGATTTTACCCTGATAAATCATCAGTCTATCCTTGCTCACTCACTCGTGGAGCTGAGCCCTTCTTGAGAAACTGCCAATTGTGGAGCTACTCAAGAACTTCCTAGCATTTTATGGAATCTGAAGGCGATACACAACAGAGAGCTGTCGTTACAGTTCAGTATTATATAGACCTATATCGTATTCAACCCTGAAAATGAAAGCAATATTTTCCTCTGTAACATTAAACTTCCTCCGAACTACATGGCGGTAGAAGAAACAAGACCACATTGTTTAAGGTAACGTATTTAAGATTAACCTTCGTTTATCACAGGAGGCGTAAACCTTCTTAAAACTACCAGCCTGAATCCTTTCAGTTTCCATGCCCCAAATTTCCATTAGCCCACTATCAAAAGAAGCTACTTCAACCCTGTTTAATTCGACATCCATATCCAAGACCATGGATTTCATGAGGTTACTGAAGTTACACATTACACTTCAGCCATTTTATCCTATCTAAGTAACAACACTGCTTAAAGTCAGCTCCAATCCACAGCAGCAATCCACACATACCAAATGATGCAAGTTTTGTTGTGTTCTGTACCTTGAATATGCCGAAGAGCAGGACGATGCTTAGCACCACCATGAAGAGATGCGTGCCGATGGTCGCGAAGTAGGCGATCTGCACTCCTGGAACAATAAGAGGCCTTCACCGGTTGAACCGAACAGACCTATCTCTAACTAGGCATGTGACAGGATGAATTTATGAGCTCGAGTCGCGAGAAAACGGTAAAACAAAAAGATAAACCTACCATTTAACAAGCCGTGGAGGCACATAGGGTTATGAGACGTAAATGCTCACATATTTTCTCCAGACAATCGGCCATATTATTCTGTATCCCAATAATTTATATCACTTCTGATAATTTTCTTATCCAGAATGGACTAAAATAAGGTGATGCTTTATCGCCACTACTTTTTAATGTTGCTTTAGAATATTCCATTAGGAAAGTCAAGGAACTGAAATTAAATGAGACGCATCAGCTGTTGGCCTACAGTGATGTTGTGAATATAGTGGGTGAATATAGATACCATAAAGAAAAAAAAACAAACTTAAATTGATGCTAGGAAGGAGATTGTGTAAAAGTACACACAGAGAAAACTAAGTTTATGTTGCTGTCTGCTAATCAAAATGCAGGGCAAAATCATGACATAAAGATAGATAACAAATGTTTTGGAAATGTGGTACAGTTCAGATATTTGGGAATGACTATAACACATAAAAACCTGATTCAGAAGGAAATTATGAGGAAATTGATTTCTATTAATGCTCGCTACCGTTCAGTCCAGAACCTTCTTTCTTCTTGTTTGCTGTCTAAAAAAAATTCAATATACAAAATAATTCGTATAATTTTGCCTGTGATTCTGTGGGTGTGAAACTTGGTCTCTGACATTAAAGGGGGAACAAAAACTGAGGGTGTCTGAGAACAGGGTGTTGAGGAGAATATTTGGACCGAAGAGAGATGGAATGACAGGAGGTTGGAGAAAACTGCATAATGAGGTGTTTCATAACTTGTACTGTTCTCCAAGTATAATTAAAATTATCAAGTCAAGGAGGAGGAAGTGGGCAGGACATGGAATATCTAAATTAACTGGAATTTCATTGACAATGCTCCGAAGTGTGATGGTGAATTCTTGCAAAGCGAAGACTTTCGCTACAAAAAACCCTCTTCTTGCGAGTCTTTCCGCTTCACGATCGCTTGTTCTGCGCGTTAGACAACTCAGCCTTAAAGTGTACAAGTCGTAACTGCGGCGTCTGATAATGTTCCACTCTTTTGTTCCCTTTCATAACTATACGTTTATTCATACAATCCGCCTTTGTTATGATCAGTGGCTTTCACTCTAGCGCCGTGTGGAATCTCGTGATGTCATAAACCAATGAATTTCCACTTTTGTTTCGTAAGTCCGATGGCAACTTTGTCGCTTTCGTGGCTTCTAACCTTGAAACTTCTTTCTGTCTCTCCCTTCCTCTCTTATTGCTCTCACACCAAGAAATTGCGAACTAATGATCCGTGGTACGAACCGATCTATGAACACGTTGAAAGCTTAAAATGGATTAGAAACATATTTGCTATCTATCTATCTACCTATCTATCTATCTATCTATCTATCTATCTATCTATCTATCTATCTATCTATCTAACTATCATGTAAACATGGAAATAAAACTTCGGGTTTCATAACATTCGGAGATATCCTTAAGCAGTTAAGCGACTCTTAACTTCCCAAAAAGCACCCTTCCCCGACGGGTTAATACACGTACAATACAACCACGACACAATGTACGTGTAGTTTCACATTGATTTCACAAGCCACTTCTTGCCAAGGAAGTCTCTCTTGAACGCCTTAACAAACCCTCGGGTTCCATAAAGCATTGACAACTTGTTGGTCAATTGATGGCGTTTATGCTGCCCTTAGCTGCATACAGATATTTACAATCAACAGTTGTAACTGGTTTTGTATACATCTACTTCTGCTACACATTATGATGCACTGTAATGTCATGGTTCTCAAACAATGCTGGGACTAGTATGTACACAGTTGAGATGTAGCAAATATGCACACACATGAAGTTGGAAATCTCTTACAATTTGGAAAACTGACTCACTTCTTGCACGAAAACCACCAGAAAGTCTCCCTACTAAGCCTTCCAAATTAAAGCAATATTAATATACAACCTAAAGCAAGAGATGACACCGATTCGACCCAAACGAGAAGAAACGATGCAAGAATATGCAGTATAGGGTAAACGGTAAAGCTATCCCTGTAACAGGCAATGAACGCCCATGGGGCTGTGAGACGTCGAGGCTCCCACATTTTGTAGATGATCGACTCACAGATGGCGGTAAGGTTGTCAGCCTTACGTGCCGGCCGCCCTTTGCTCCCCAGGAATATTCCTGGTACTCTTTTCAGTTAGAGGCTGAGTCGACCACAGGGATACACTAAGGCTGGAAGGATTAGATAAATTGGAAAAAATCAATGATCTCATTGTCCCTCGAACCCGCAACCTTCCAGCACAGTGCCTCAACCAATTACGCTACCTCGTGCTCCGTATGCAATATAGGGTGACTTTGTAAATGAGAACACAGTACTGAGTATGCTAATAGACTCACGTATTAGAGGGTTAGGACAATTTTGGAGAAACTTTTGTAATATTGTGTTCCAGTGTGAAAAACACCACTCTGTATATATATGTCAGACAGTACTCACAATACCTCATTTTGATGCAAATCAATGCTATTACTGCTATATTGTATTCAGATGTATTTAAAACTGGACTGGATCCTACTGACTCCATTATTGCTTCATCAACGTTTCTGTACATCATCAGGTTCTAACGGATTTGTGTTTATTTTATTGCTAGTGGGGTGGGACTAAGTCCCTTGTACTGTGGCCACTTCTGGCCTATTGTACTAGCCCCAGATGATAGGTGAGGGTGATTGTGGAGCAATTGGTGGAATGAAGAATGGCAGGGGAAACCAAAGTACTCGGAGAAAACCTGCCCCAGCGCCACTTTGTCCACCACAAATCCCACTTGACCAGACTTGGGATCGAACCCGGGCCGCCGCGGTGGGAAGTCAGCGACTAACCGCTTGAGGTATGGCTTACAGCCTATGCAAGTTTCAGCCAATCTGCTGCATATAATCCGAAAACGACCGCTTGCGGTGGGAACGTGTAGTGAAGGCCAAGGGGAAAAAAGCAATTAGAGTTTCTATTATAGGTTTATATGACGGTTATCATATGACCTATGACCACTGCCGTTTTCTTGAAACAGAGGAGCTGAGGACATTCTGTGCCACAGAGGCCACGTGTTCATTTGCGATGAGACTAACACTCCATTGACTCTCAGAATGCGAGACACAAAGTGAAGTTCTGTTTTACGTACCGTAATAGACGTCTTCCAGGTCGGCGTATTTCTTGACATTGACGCCGATCCTCCAGCTGTAGAGGAGTACCACCAGGATGGAGACGTTCTGCGAAATGAGGAAGAGAAGACGACAGGTAAATACAGCTGCTTCCTGGTTTAGTGCAACGCAAAATGAGATGGGAAGGTGTGATGGTTTGATGCGGCTTTTGTAAACAGAGTAGTGTCTTACCAAGTGCCTTTCGAGAGATGGAATAGCTCCCATTACAAAGGTAAAAGTTAATATTGTCCCTGTGTTTAACTAATTAAGCACTATGCTATGAAGGCGTATTGGGTGTGGATGTATAGATCCATATTTTCTTGACCTCGGCACTAGTTGGAGGTGAGTGGTCAGCTTCACGCTCCAGACGCTTTACCCCCGAGGAAATAGCTCTCGGTGCCCACTGTATAGGAGGTCGGGTGAACCCCAGAGACGTTCTGGACGACATTGAGAAGAGAAAATTGTATCCCCATCGGGACTCGAACTCCGACTCCTCCGTCCTCTAGCCCGTAGCCAGTCGCTATACCGACTGAGCTATCCCGGCCATTATCTTATGTAAAAGGGGAGATGATCCAGTTAAGTTGGACACGTTAGGAGGACACCTGGCATCGAAACTAGCAATTTATAATGGGCCAAGCTGATTAGGATACTTTACTCTTTTACGCCTGATCATGCAAGCAGTTACATCTTCCGAAAATAATCGTATAACTTAAAAATGACTAAGACGATAGACAGAATGCAAGATAATGCTTCTATATCCTTCTTTACTGAAATGTTTATACACTTCTCGAGACACTCGTCAGTGGGATTTACAAGCAGGAGAACCTCGGAAATGACTGCCAAATCTTAAAAGATAACTGAAGTGTTCATTCCTGACACGATTGAAATTATGGTCTTCTGGTTGATGGACACATATTAGCAACACATGTTGGCCATCTATTGATTGGTAGGTTTTAAACGTACGCCTGCTTAAATTCACGAACCTGTCCGGCCAATACAACCTGTGCACCTGAAGGAACATCTTTGAATTGCCCAAAATTTAATGTTGTTAGAGTTTCCCTTGTGTAAACATGGCGAAGAAAGGTAGGAGAGACGATACGAAATACACATTTCGCTTACACCTCTGTTGGGGAAGGAGTTTTCTGCAGAGTTGCCTTCTTCAGAATTTAAAAGGTTGCGCTATACATTTGGACATGCCTCCATTATCCTCATTATCTCGGAACGAACATTATCCTCAAGGATCGAAGGTGCAGAATACACCAGTGTTGCACCCACTCCCTGTTGCTAGGAACTGCTGGTCTTTCTATGTGATATACGCAGCCCAATTTGGCACTCAATTGCTCTCCCTCAAACGCTCTGAATCGTGCTCCAGCGATCAGGGAATGCTGAGTTGCCTCACATCCACTCACTATAGAATACTGAGATACTTAAATGCATCCTTTACGTCATTCTTCATGTAGGCAGCCTCACGGAAGAAGAATCCTGTGTACGTACGTGTACATCAGCATCTTCCATCGGCGTATGAACACCAAAAGTACCTTAGAAAGTAGTTCTAGGATATTTCTAACGGTGACATAAGAGTCTAAGGGCGGCCGCACACTAACTGCGTCAAGACAAGCATCAAGACATAAGACGCAGTCTTGCTTCATTCGTGATTCAGACTCGAGTCCGCACAATGAAGTAGCCCGTGTCTGCGTCATCACATCTTCTCTAGTTGATGACATGACGTGATGCTGATACTGTACACTGGTGCTGTTCCTTGAGTATTGATGTCCGAGTCTTGACGCACAGAAAAGGAAAATGCCGAGTCTTGCTTCATTCGTGATTCGTCAGCATGGAGCTGACGTCAGCATCATGACTCAGACCGATGTGCGGCGGTTTTCATAATCTAATTCGTTTCAACTCTGCTTCTTCTTTTGCGTCATGTCGCAGACACCGTGTCTTGATGCATGCCGGTGTGAGGTCTACCTAAGTCATTAACTGACTATGAGGCACCTTTATTCCTGGAGCAGCTGAAATACAGAATACCTTCTGTGTCTAGTGATGCGTGTTGCGTTTGTTAGAGCTTCATGTGATGGAGCAGCCATATATCAAGCTCTGTCTGCATTGTTGTCCCTGCACTCAGATCCAGAAGATTAATCTGCAATGCGCTTGGCCCACAGAAATACGGCACTGAACTAAGCGTCTCAAGACTCCTCAAGATGGCTAATTAGAATGGGTAGCTCAGGCTACGTAGAGAGTACAAATGCATAGACTGCATTCACAAGAGAAACCGCAGAGTAATCAGGGGGCTTAGAGCGCTAAATCATTTGAGGCTGAATAGTTCTTAAAAAGACAAAAGTTGATTGTACTCAATTTCCAAAAAAAATTATAGAACCCGAACTTTCGTTGCTCTGTTTACACTACCATCATATATATATCTGAGGTCCAGTTTAATATTATCTTCTCATCTACGTCTAGATCTTCCCAGGGGACTTCTCCCTTCGGGGTTTTCTTCCAAAAAGCTATACGCACTCCTCCTAATATACATGTCCATCTCGTCCTGGACTTCATCATCTAATAATACCTGACTAAGGGCACACGTCATGAAGTCCCTCAATATGCGTTTTTTCAAGCTTTCTACCATTTCATCCCCCAAATATTCTCCTCCTGTTCTAACCTTAATATGAAAGACCAAGTTTCACACCCATACAAAACTTCATGCAAATTCATAATTCTGTATACGTTGACTAAGAGGTCATCCGTAACATTTAATAACAATGTGGTTTATTATGTCTAAATGTTATCCCTACGCCCAAAACCCAAAATGGAGGAACACTCCTTGTCGGGTATCCTAGACGGATTATTAAATATATCTGAAGGTACCCGGCCGCCTCTGTGGTCTAGTGTTCAGAGTTCCTGGCTACAGATCTAGAGGTCCCGGGTTCGATTCCTGGCGCTACCAGGATTTATGAGAAGTAGTGGGTCTGGAACGGGGTCCACTCAGCGTCGAGAGGATAATTGAGCACCTATTTCAAGGAAATAGCGGCTTAGGTCTAGAAAACCGAAATTAACGGCCGTGGGGATTCATTTCACTGATCATGCGACACCCTCTATCCGCTAAATTTGACACTAACTTCGTTGAAAAGCGGCGGTCGCTCGGTCCGTATAGTTCGCTTGCGGACACAAGCCACAGAGTTTTTTTCTTAATTTGAAGGTACACTCCTCATCTGGAGGACGTCTCCTCGTAATGCATCCCGAGGACATGCCGTTCCGTGGTGAAAAGGAGCACACATAACATCGAAATTCTTGCACTCGATGACACGAAATTCACTCTAATAAACCAATTTTGTCTCTAGTTTCCTTGTGAACACAGAAAATCTCATTGTTTAAGCTAAAAGAACAATCTGCGAATTTACATGCATAAGATGAGTGGCCAGGAAACATGTACACTCTTGTAAGATTTGAGGCTTTCACGGCGGTGACTATGAAGAAAGCAGTCTTCTGGGATTTGGCACCGTGTATATGTGGTGTTAACCGACGTTTCGGAGGAACGTATCGCCTCCATCTTCAGGGTAGAAGAAAAATAAAAGCAGACAGTCTGCTTTTACCGGTTCTCACGGTCTCTTCGCTTGCAGATTTCTTATATTTTTCCTCTACCCTGAAGATGGAGGCGATACGTTCCTCCGAAACGTCGGTTAACACCACATATACACGGTGCCAAATCCCAGAAGACTGCTTCCTTCATGTACACTCTTCATTAATTCCGAAACACAAGTCCCTCTGCACTATCCAAGCACTTGCGTCGCGTTAACTTTTGAAAAATTTCAGATAATATGACGTCGGATACAAATACAAACTCTTGTAAACCAGCCAAGAACTTTCTATTCTCCAGCCTCCTATCCAATGGGTATTGGGGGATCTTTCCACGGTGGTAAAGAAGCTCTAACTAGTACCGAGATCAAGAAAATGTGGGTCTATACATCCACTCCCCTATACGCCTTAATGATGTAGTGCTTAATTCTTTCGTTACCTCTTAGTACCTCCGCTTCTGTTACGTAAAATTTTCAGCCCTCAGGTAACTGCTGCTCCCAGGATCTCCACTTTTATCGCAATGCAGACTGGGGGAGGATTCGATCGGTTTGTTCAATTTCATGCTTTTCAAAAGTGAACGAAATATTCCAACGTAAGTTGGAATTTACCTATTCAGACGTCTCTTTAGCATAGCAAAAGTCATGTGAAAATTACTGAATTTGTACGTCTAAAAAATTCATATATTTCTTGTACACGTAGAGCCAATACAATTTCCCCTCTCCGTGACTGAGAAATTCTGTAATCAGTTAGGATTCTCTGCGGAAATCTAATGCCCTTGTCCCGAAATATAACCCCAGGGGATGCTGCGCCTACTCCCCTTTCAGTTACTGCTGTCAAGTTCTGTCAAGCAGCCTATACTCGAAGCATCAGCATACTATAGCAACTGGTACTTTCCGGTAACTCAGAAAGTGCAAACACTGTAATCTCGTAAGCCTCCTAACTCTAAAAGTTAGGGGGATATACAGACAGACAGAAAGGCGATTTCACAAGCTTGCTTCTTTCTCTTCAAAAGAAGAAAAAAGGGTAAAACTATCCCTGTAACAGGCCATAGAGACCCATAGGGTTGTGAGAGGTTGAGGGTCCACATTATCTAGAAAATTGGCTCACAGATGGCGGTAATGTTGCCAAACTTACGCGCCGGCTGCCATTTATCTCAGGAAGATTCCTGGTACTCATTTCTGTTAGAGGCTGAGTCGACCCCAGGGCCATAGTGCGGCCGGAAGGATTAGGTCAATTGAAAAAAAAATCACCTCATCGAGACTCAAACCCAACTTAATGCCTCAACTAACTACGGTACTCCGTGCCCCACAAAAGAAGAAACTAGACTAAAAATTAAGGCTACACAGAAAGACGGATGCACGTTACACAAGCAAATTCATTTTTTAAGAAATTATTTTTACTTAAAACAGAACATGAAACCTTGTTCATTTTTAACGGTCTATGTATCTTCATGCTTATGACGTAAATACATAAGTTCATACACATATCCGGAACGC